AGCTATGAATGATAGATTGAGTACTCATGATGAGGAGATTGCTAATCAAGACCATAGTTATACGATAGACATTGAAGAAGATTTATCTTTTGGTANAATTATTATACTTATTAAATATATTTGTGTAAATACAGACAAGATTATATATTATAAATAAGATATTCTCTTTGCATTTTCAGTAAATAGTATCAAAAAAGAAACCTGTGATGATGAAAATAATCAAACTAAGATAGATGTTGACTTTAAATCAAAATCTTTTATGTATTCCGAAAATACTACCAAGGTTATGAATGATAGAATGAGTACACATAATGAAAGGACTAATATTTTCAATCAAAATCATAGGTATATGATAAACACTGAAGAAAGTTTATCTTGTGGTAAGATTATATTACATATATTAAATATATTTTTATGTATATGCAGAGATTATGTATATTATAAATAAGATACTCTTTTTACATGTCAGAAAATATCAAAAGAAGATCTACCAAAAAGAAAACCTGTGATAATTTAAAAGATCAGAACGAGATTGTCAATTCTTTAAAACCTGAGAATTGCCAGAAAAATATATGTGTGGTTACATCTTATAGTAAGTATATATATTTATTTAAAAATACACTTCTTTAATGAGAAATTTTACACATTAAGGAAGTTTTACACAATTAAAGTTCTTCATTTTTAGAAGATAGTAACAAAATGAACCGCTATTGTGATTTGAATGCAAATAAAGAGATTATCCACATTCAAAACTCTTTACATAAAGAAAACGTGACCTGTGGTAATAACGATTTACTGTCATTTTATAATATTTTGAAGTAACATATACGTTACTAACAGTACTCTATTCTGATATGTATTTTTAGCAAATACTCTCGTGACAATAAACTCTGACAATGAAAGTATAACCACCAATAAGACAGATAATTACAAATGTAATCTTAATTCAAGGAAAAGTACTACTCCGCTTGCGTCTAGTGGTGAGTACAGTATTATTTAAACTATCTTAAAAGTTCTGATTATATTATAAATATTGTATAATGACTTTTGGTTTTGTTTATATATTTATTAGACAATAATACAACAATATACAGGTTAATCCCCCCAGGCAGATGTTGAAACTAAGAGAGATAGAAAAACAAGTTTCAAATAAAAGTTATAGAGTAGTGAAATACGATAGCTTTAATCAATTTTGTGTAGAGGCCATTTCCAAGGTCACGTCAAAGTCACCTTAAAATTTTTTAATGGGAGTCCCTATTGTTTATGCATATTCATGTAGCTAACATCAATGCATTTTCAGAACACTGGTTACAACTTATTTTTAGTTGAGAACTTTCTGAGTTATGAGTTTTCAACTAACAATAGGTTGTAACCAGTGTTCTGAAAATGCCTTGATGTCAGCTACGTGAATATGCATAAACAATAGGGACTTCTATTAAAAACTTTTAAGGTGATCTTGACGTGAAATGGCCTTTACACAAAATTGATTAAGGCTATCGTATTTTACCACTCTATAACTTTTATTTGAAACTTTTTTTTCTCTCTTAGTTTCAACGACATTCGCTTGGAGCGATTAAAATGAATCACCCTGTATATTTTGCTAAAGAAAGTAAAAGCAATGAAATTTTTCTATACGAAAGACTATGATTTTCTAAATAATAATATTTTAATATCAGAGTACTTTAAACTGGTGACGTAGTTTTGCAAGTATTATATTATCGTACATAGAAGCAGCTTACAAAAATTTAATTATGGTGTGTGCGTGTGCGTGTGTGTGTGCGTGCGTGCGTGTGTGTGTGTGTGTAAATATATTGAATTTTAATATAATTTTAATAAATTGAAGAAAAACATGATATTTACTCTGATATTTACATGACGTTTATCATAATATAACTCTTGTTTTAGAGAAACAATGTTAATTAAATCTAATATCTATTAATGTATTTTATTTTTTTGTTGGCACAATTATATCTGTTTATAAGAATTAAATTTTATTATTAATTTATACATTTTTCTCATTTTATTGCCGCGTATATTTAATCTACATATTATCAATATTGACATACAAATATGTATTATGCATATTTCACTGTTATGAGACTTGTGTCTTTTACATAATTATGTAATCCATTTATTTCTCTTTCACTAGATAATGATACCGATGAAGACTACGTACCTACAGAACAAAGGTTTTCTTCGCATAAATCTACACAAAGCTACGTACAAAATTTGAACAGGTCTACATCTTTAGTTTCAAGTTCGGACATTTTGAACACGAATATTGGCAAATCGATATGTAACGACGAGGTCATGTACGTTGAAACATCTAGTACAAAATCAACGAAACAAAACTGTTGTGTTTTTTGCAACAAATTACAATCCCAACTTGCACGTCATTTAGTAACAATTCACAGTAACGAACTAGAAGTGAAAAAATTCGCTGTGTTACCTAAACTACATCCAGAAAGGAAAAAAATAATAGAAACTATTCGGAAAAAAGGAAACTTTAAATTTAATACACAAGCCGAACTTAATTCTGGACAATTAATCGTAAGCAGACGTCCAAATGAGAAAACTAATAAAACTGCTATCGATTTTATAGCCTGTGTTAAATGTAAAGGATTTTTTGCAAAAAGCGCAATACGTCATCATGCTCGAGTTTGTCTAAACAAAAATTTTCAAAAAGATAGAAATGTTTTGATTATGGGCAGACAAATTACCGGAAGACTTCATTCTATAGCAAATGAAACTTTAAGAAAAACTGTTTTTCCTATTATGCGAGATGATAAAGTAACACGTATTGTGAGATACGATGAATTATTAATTAGATATGCTAATAGAATGTGTATAAAATATAAAGAATCACATCAGCACGATAACATTCGTGCAAGGTTACGTCTTCTTGGTCGGTTTCTTCTAGCGTTGAAGAATATAAATACAAAAGTACAAGATTTTCAGTCGGTGTATCATCCTCGATTATATCATGACTGTATTTCTGCAATAAATATAGTTGCAAAATATGATAATAAGACACAAGTTTATAAAACTCCTGCAGTAGCAGCTACCTTATCAACTCTTCTTAAATACTTAGGAAATATTCTTATTACGGAATGCATTAAAGAAGAAGAAGAAAACAAGAAGAAATTAGTTAAAAATTTTGTAAAATTACTTGGTGTGGATATTCGAACAAATAATAAAATGGTTAAAGAACTGCAATTTGCCCATAAAAGACATAAAAAAATTAATCTCCCATCACTTGACGATATTAAAAAATTACACACACATTTGACAAAACAAAGATTTGCAGCATATACAGCATTAAAAGAATCTTTTTCATATGAAAAATGGGTCACATTAGCTGAAGTTACGTTAACTTCCGTATATGTTTTGAATAGACGTCGACCAGGAGAAATGGAACGAGTGGAAATAGAAAATTTTAAACATCATGTAAAACTAAATAACAATATGTTTGATGATATAGATCTTTATGAATCTTTATCTATGGAAGATAAAAGAATTGTTGAGAAATATGTGCAATTTTGCATCAAAGGAAAACTAGGACAAAAAATACCCGTTTTATTGTCAAGCGAAATGTTTGACTGTATTACATTACTTTTGAAATTTCGTATAAAAGCAAATGTACCGAAAAAAAATCCTTTTATATTTGGATTACCTGGTTTTGACAAAAACAGATATCGATATCTTAGAGTTTGTACTTTAATGCGCAAATTTGTGCGTAAATGTAACATAAGTAAGTCAATTACTTTGCGTGGTACGAAATTAAAACAACATATAGCAAAACATTGTATTCAACTTCATCTGAATGATGAAGTTTTGGGTCGTGCGATAGGTCATGTAGACAAAATACGTAAGAAACATTACAAACAAGCATCAAGCAGAGATATACTTCTTCGATATTTAGAAGCCGTACAAGAAAATGAACAGAATTCGGAAAATGAATCTGAATCAGATAGTGGCTCCGAAAAAGGAAACGTACAAGAAAATGAACAGAATTCGGAAAATGAATCTGAATCAGATAGTGGCTCCGAAAAAGGAAATACCTTAAACCAAAATATTCGTAATACTGATGAAACAGGTAATGTAATTTAATGTTGAAAGTATACCGTAAATTTTATTTACTTGTTTTACACTGTAATAGATATTTACGTGAGTTACATACAAATATTTTAATTTTATGTGTAATAGTAAAATTTATGATATGTACATATATTGTTTATTGTAAATATAGCATGTAACTTTTTAAGTAATTCCATGAAGTGTACAAAGCTAACAGATAAACAACCTGGAAAACGAAAACGTAATAGTAAGTACTTTTGTTTATTCATTTTTAATGTAAGTTCTTATTCTATTCTTATCTTTTCTCTTATGGTATTCTATAAATAATTTTATGTTTAATTACTTTTATCATTATTATTCTTAAAAACTATATCAATATATTTTTGTATATTTATTTTTGTTAATTTTTTATCTGTATATTTGTAATTTGTATATTTCTTTTTTACTAGAACATTTTTATATGATAAATATAAAGTATGGTGTACTATTTATTTTTTCAGTACTGTATGTACAGTAGGGAGCACCATATCGTGCGGCTCCAAGGGAAATATTTTTCGGGAATTTCTTCTTTGAATGCTCTATACTATCGCGCGCCGTTCTTCTTCGGTCTCCGCCAACGGTCCGAGATCGAAGAAGAAAAGCTCGCAGTAATAGGAGCAGTTAAAGAAGAAATTTCCGAGAAATACTTCCCCTAGAGCCGCACGATATGGTGCTTCCTACTGTATATACATTACTTACTGTGTATACATGTATTGTTTGTTATCGTACGCGGCAATTAAAATAAAATCTTCTTTGATTCTTTTCCACTATTGCGTACTTATCTTTCTTCATTATTTTTTGACTGGCTAATCAGCCGATGATTACGATGATTTACCGAACAACCGGAGGAGAAGAAGAAAGCAATATTAGAAAAGAATAGTAAAGAAGTCATTTCTCTTACTGAGCATGAGTTAATAACGTGCAAATAAATATTTTTTTATATTATTTGTACATTAATAAGGGAACTTCGCGAGGTGGAAAATTCTGATTTTTATGAAACTTTGCACACATGTAGGGAGGATCAATAGATAAATATTGACATATTCCGTTGCGGCCCAAAAACGGTTTTAAGAGATGAAATCACCCCTTATATATACATATATATAAAGAGTGTGATTTCACTCCATATTAATAAATGTTTTAAAAACTTATTTTTAAAAAATTTTTTTCAACATTTATTAACACGTTGTATGCCACGGGAGTCACCGGCGACCGGCGCACCCAGATTGGTAGAAATACATAATTTGGACAAATGTCAATACTTATCAATTTTTCATTATTACCATTGTTAATGCAATGGTGTGTAGAAATTAATGCAGTATAAAACATTAAAAAATAGTTTTATTTATATGAAATACAAAATACATGAAATACAAAATTTATTATGCGCGCTTATTACGATGTGTCGAATTGAAACATTTTAAACAAAGAAAGGGGGAACCAGCACAGTCTTCGGCATTGTTTGGAAGTACTTGGTAAAAATGTATCATCAGTTGAATTGCTTGACGTATAATCTTCATATGAAATCATATTAACTTTAAGGGCTAATTGAAAAATTAAATAGAAGATACGAAGTGCAAAAATTTGTGTAGTGTGTAAAAGTATAATAGGTTTTTACCTGATTGTTAGACACTCTCGAAAAGAATAAAATTGTGGAATTATTATTGAAAAACGTGAACAACGTGAAGAAACAATGAGATAATTGACGATGGCAAAAAATAAATGAGACGTGCGAAACCGCACTCCAGCGCCGCGGTGGTCACCGGTAACCACCGTGACAATTAACGTGTTAAACATGATTACACACTGTAATTTATTTGTTGTAGGTAATATTTCAAGATTATATGTATCGTATAATAGAAAATTCATCGTAGCGCCACAGGCAAACCCTGTAAAACTGGCGTGGCATTCAACGTGTTAATATGGTTAAATAGAGAAGACTTTTTTAAATGAAACTTTTGTATGAAACATTAAAATAATTTTTTAAAACATTTATTAATATGGATAAATAAAGGACTTTAATGATATATATATATATATGATAAAAAATAATTCACATAAAAAAATATATATAATAAAATATAATTCACTATTTACACTATTTACACTACAAGGGAATCGCGCGAAAATTCTGATTTGTCAATATCGTCTATTGACCACTCCTATATGTGTGCAAACTTTCATCAAAATCAGAATGTTCGCGAGATTCCCTTCCCGGTAAAAAATTTTTCATGTATAAAATTGTATGGACATATTTGGTATATAAATTTTCATAATTAGATATAATTATTTTAATTTGTGTATAAGTATATATGATTATATATCAAAAATTATTTAAAAATATAGTAAAAATTAGTTTTATATAATTTTTTTGTATCTAACATGATACTAATAGAGTTATTTTGTAATTTGATATAAAATATCTCTGAAGCCATTTTCTTAAAAAAAGAAATTCTCCGTGTATAAAATTGTATAGACATATTCGGCATATAAATTTGCATAATTAGATATAATTATTTTAATTTGTGTATAAGTATATATGAAAAATTTTTTCCCGGGTTGTAAGTGTAAATAGTAAATTTATAAAAAATTACGTAAAATTTAAAAGAAATTACTAAAAGTAAAGAAAGTAATAAAAAATTGACTCGGAGTATAAGTTGAATAAACTTTATCATCAATAAAAATATACAATGACAATGACAATGTGAAACTTACCAGATCAGTCAACTAAATCTTATCTTAAATATTAGTACAAATCAGTTCCATGGTTTTGCATAGTATGTTAACTATGTAATATTTTATGTTCTGTTCTAGCATCTCCGTATGGAAAAACAAAAAGAGTAAGATGGACAGAAGACGAAAAGCACACAGTGCTACAAGCGTTTGCACGACACATCGAAAATCATACATTACCGTCTTTACACGAAATTCAGGAGGTAAAGAAGGGATATGTTTCTCTTGCTCGACGTTCTTTACCGCAAATCAAAACGTGGTTACATAATCAACAAAAGAAACAACGACCATTATAATCCACACGATTGTATATAAATCATATGTTGCACTAGTTTGAAAACAACTCTCTATATGTTATACAAAAATGCTTGTTTTAAAGAGACATATACGACGTAAGATCTTCTTTGACTTCGTCATTGGAGATCAGAAAAGTACAATCGATTAAACATCGAGTAAACATTTCAGCTAAATTACTTCTATAAATGAAAAAGTTATATGAGGTATGATTGCGCGCGGAAGACTTAAGATGATATTTTTCATTGTTTTTAACACTTTTTTATCCGAAGTTTTTATTTTTTTGATAAAACTAAAATATATATCGTCACACTCCCTACGTATAATTACATAAGTGTCACAAATGGGATTTTCAGTTCTTCGCATAATGACACTTAGAAAGTCATGTTCTTTATGGTCACCAAATATTAAAAAAAAATATTCATAAATGAGGTACAAATTTGAAACCGAAAGATCCCTATAGGGAAACATATGAAGCTTTATACTTTTAAACTGCTCTCTTCTAAAATTTGCGTTTTGGAATTACGGGATTATACGTAGGAAGTGACGATATATATAATAGCATATAATTTTTTATAAATACAATAACATGTAATTTTTTATAAATATAATAACATTTGATATTTGATGCTTTCGTGATGTGTGTATTAACATCCGAATATATTTTCCTAAAAAACATCTTCGAATATAATATTTATTTTACCTGTTGTTACATATTTTATATCGTCACTTTTATATAATTGTCACATACGGGATTTTCAGTCTATTGCATAGTGACACTTAGAAAGTTCTTTATGGTCACCAACATTAAAAAAAGACAAATATTCATAAAAAAGGTAAAAATATGAAATTGAAAGAATTCCTTAACTAGGGAAAAGTCTTTAAAGTACTCTCTAAAATTTGCATTTTGAAGTCACGGGATTATACGTAAAGATTGACGATATGAAACACATTATATGAGATAAACTAATTTTACTATAAGATAAAGTAATTTTATTATAAGATAAAGACTTATATTAATGTTTCTCTCGAAATATTAGGTTGTTGCATAATTTTTGTTGTATTTTTTATTATTATTCTCAACAAAGTTCACAATTGCCATTAAACTAAGTCAAGCAGAACTTTTGTTAATTTCTTTGTTTATTATTGGTTATTGTGTTTGTAATTTTACATGGTTTTAAAATTTGTGGCCATTTGTTTTAGAACCCTGCGCGCAGAAAAATTAAAGTCGATAAACTCTACTTGAGACATTGCATGCTATACAAATTTCAGAAGGGTAATAATGCAACTGTTGCTACAAAATCTTTATGTAAAACATTGGGTAAAATATTGTTAATGTTCGGACGGTTCAGAGGTGGTTCGCGAAATTCTGTAGTGGAGAACTTCAATTTAATAGATGATTGCGCATACGACGACATTTTGACTTTAATTATTTACTACGTTTATACGTTTAATCGGATTTATTGATTACATCCATAGTTATAAGTGGCCGCTTACACTTATTTCATTTTTCAAAAAAATAGCTGTAATTGGCCAGTTTCATAAGACTATAGATATTGGATGTATCCGTTATTAAACCCGATTAATGATAACATGAAACAATTTCATTAAAATTTAGATAAATAAATTTTTAAATAAATTTTAGACTTTAGGAAAAATCAAACATAACTTTATGAAATTAAGTTATACAATAAGTGTGACAAAAACTCAAAAACTATAATTATGTATTATTAGATTGATAAAACAGGACGGTTCAGCATTCTCTTTTACTTTGGCTATATCTAAAAGCGTTGAAAAAGCACGTAATGTCTTGAGATAAAGGCTGCGTTCCGATATATTTATTATTTACTATTTGTAAATATATTATTTACAGTACTAAAAATCTATAATATATGTTATGTGATTATTTTTTAGTACTGACTATAAATAACGGAACACAATCAGTATAAAAACTGAAAAGTAATATTTTTATACAAGTAATATTTTTTTTTATTTTTAAATCAGTGGAATTTGTCTTTATTATAAATTTTGTCACGTTGCATAAAATTGTAACAATAAATTACGATCAGTTAATATAACTTTACATATATTCTATTGATAGTTTTTTATTAGACTTACTGATGTATATCAATGACTAACATACTCTATAAATATAATAATAACTTGCTTCATATATAACAGTAACATTTGTACTTTTATAACTCTATTACAAATGATCATACATATAGGATGTTTGGTAATAGCCGTATTATCGCTCGTGAATATCTTATTGAATTACCGCATGAAAAAGTTCTGTACCACTTTGTAAGATTCATAATAATTGACAAATTATTAATTACTAAAGATACGCAAAAGAGTGTGCAATCCATATGCAAAAGACAGCTCAGCGTTTCGTGTCCTTATGTTTGCTACACGCGCAGCAACTCAATAGAAAGAGTTAGAGAATGTTTGAACCAGAGAGAAGCCTGAGAGCGGCCATGCCATTGTAGTTTTTTACGACGGTTTCAACCGCTGGTTTTAGCCGTATTTCCACAAAAGTGGAACTCAAAGGCCGTTCTCCACGAAACTCAAGTCGCAGGTCTTGTGGAACTGATCAATCACGTCGGTCGATTGGCTGATTTGATTCTGCAATTGGTCAATTCCACGAGATCTGATACTTGCGTTTAATGTAGAACGGCCTTTGAGTTCCACTTTTGTGGAAATACGGCTAAAACTAGTTGCTGAAACCGTCGTAAAAAATTACAATAGGATGGCCGCTCTCAGATTTCTCTCTGGTGCATGTTGGGTGTACAGACGGCGTCATTAATTCGAAAAATAGGCGCGGGGATCGGAGGGCAAGCGGGGCAGTTGCTCGTAGCGCCAACGGGCGCCGTACTAACTAGTAGCAATCGGGTGTCCACAACTACGACCATGGAGATAAAGGAGGGAGCATTAAGCAGTGTTGCTAGATCGGGCCGGCCAGCACCAAGAGCACCAAGGTGGTGGGGGCACGCATACAGCGAGAACCGCCGTCCGTGTGCGTGACGTCACGCTCGGCTGTTCGGCTCGTGAAAGAGCGCAAACATACTATGTTCTGCCTCGCTTCCACTCGTAACGCGAGACACTGAGGCTAGAAAGCAATGTTTCGTTGCGTGCTTGTAGCGTATGACAATGGGTGCGTTCAGACAACTCAACAGTTGCACAACGGTTGAGAGATAATCACTTCTGATTGGATCATACTTTTGGAACCGAAGCAGATTTTAAAGAATAATCCTATCATAAGTGATG